GGTTTGTGGCCATTTGTCACCCTCTGCAGTATTCAGTTATTATGAGCCCTCGCCTCTGTGGCTTCTTAGTTTTGGTGTCTTTCTTGCTGAGTCTTTTGGACTCCCAGCTGCACAGTTTGATGATCTTAAAAATTACCAGCTTCAAGGATGTCAAAATTTCTAGTTTCTTCTGTGACCCTTCTCAACTTCTGAATCTTTCCTGCTTGAACACCTTCTCTGATAACATTGTGAAATATTTACTTGCTGCCATATATAGCCTTTTCCCCATCTCAGGGATCCTTTTCTCTTATTACAAAATTATTTCCTCCATTCTGAGGATCCCATCCTCAGGTGGGAAGTATAAAGCCTTCTCTACCTGTGGCTCTCACCTGGCAATTGTTTGCTTATTTTTTGGAACAGGCTCAGGAGTGTACCTTGGATCAGCTGTGTCACATTCTCCCAGAAATGGTGCGGTGGCCTCTGTGATGTACACTGTGGTCACCCCCATGCTGAATCCTTTCATCTACAGCCTGAGGAACAGGGACATTAAAAGGGTCCTGATGAGGCTGCAAGCAGGATGGTCTCATCTCACCCCTTGTGGTGTCTAGTTGCAATATGTTTTGGAAAATGCAGAAAAGCTAAATACACGGTTTTGTCAATATGCCCCTGTGTCTAATTTCTCACCAAGTTTTATAGTAGAATGGTTGGAACTCATGTTGGGAAAGGATGTTTGGAAGTTTTCATGTTGGAAACAAATTTTTAGTTTGGTGAGATAAAAAATATTGGAGATAGTTGATAGTGACTGTTTCACAACTCTGTCAATATTTAATGCCCCTGAGATATGCAATTGGCAATGGAATGGTAATTAATGATTCCAAGTATTTGTAACTTAAAATTTCCATAATGAAAGTGGACTTTTAAAAACCACTATGTTTAAAACACAATTAAAGAAATCAATAGTACAAATGGACTTTTTTTCCTATTTAAAAAATGCTTAAATGATATTAGCTGATGTTCATTTTTTACCCTTCTTCCTACCAAATCATTATTAGGACATCTTGGAGTCAGGTATAAATTACAGACCAAAGTCAGATGGTTATAATTAATATGGAAATGCTAAACTTGCAACTACTCAACTGAAATATTATTGAACTCAAGTTACTGTTTTCATATTTTTATAATTTTGCATTTTTATATATCCTTATTTAAATATATGATGTATATTTGAATGCAATGACCATCTCTCTTTCATTTCTGCTTCTCCAGAGCTTGTACCATGTTAGGCACAGAGGAAATAAAAAATAAAAATGCATTGAACACTAGCTGTGTGCACATGTCCTGGCCTTCCTTGCTCAGTGGGGTTTCAACTCCCTGGTGCTCTCCTGTCTGTACCTTCCTCCTGCTGAGGAATGTCCCACAGAGCCAGAGACTAGACTGAGCATCTCTTGTTTGGGTCTGTGTCATGGACACCAGAACCCCATACTTCCCTTAGAAGCATCTACAACCTTCAATTACTCAAGAACAATGGCAGGAATGTCCATGAACCTAGGAGAAGAAAGTAGAAACAGAGCTAAGTGACAGGAGACCCTTAGAGCTTTGCCTGAGACACATTGTACTTTCATATTATTCCAGTACAACAGTAGAATCCTTTGACAATTATTCTGAGTAGTGCATCTACTATTTTTTAATGAGTGAATGCTTAATTAAAAAAAATTAAAGACCAAAAATAGTCATTAAAATGTATACTTCAGATGGTTCAAGTAGTAATATCTTGTGATTTATACTTTAACCTAATAAAAATGGATCTTAAATGCTGGTGTAGCTATTAAAAACTCAGAAGTGAAAGAAGTAATTGAGTACACAAGGTTCTTCCCAATTTCGGCTAGGTCCAAAATCTTAAGTGATCTTCATTTTCTTTTCTTCATTTTCCTGCATTAATGTTGGGAAGTCCTTAGAGATGGCATAACATGGACCAATTAGTCTAATGTGAGCTCTGTGTACTGACCTTTCAAGGTCCTATATTAGTCCACAGTCAGCCTGTGCCTGCAGCCCTTCAGTGGATAGTTCCTATCCAGTGAGCTGTGTGGCTGTGTCTCCTGCTGTGGTTTTGCATCATCTGAAGCTCCCAGCTAACAGCATATTCCTGGGAATACTGGGCACAGAGATTGAGTCTTTGTTGGGCACCAGGTATGGGTGGGTCTTGGGATGTACACTTCTTTTTTAAAAAATATTTTTCAGTTGTAGATGAACACAATATCTTTATTTATTTTTTATGTGGTGCTGAGAATCGAACCCAGTGCCTCACACATGTGAGGCAGGCACTATACCACTGAGCTACAACCCCAGCCCAGCACGTGCACTTCTTTGTCATGAGCCAGCAGAGAACCAGCACAACCCAGTAAGTGCAGAGGGAGCCTTGGGATACAGGAAGGAACTATTGTTTCTGTATCACAAGGACAAACATCACTTTGAGTATCCAGATAGGTAATTCCAGCATGTCAATTTTCATGTCTATTGCTTGTGAATCTTATGATTTTATGTTAGGGAAGATATGATTTGCATCCCCCTCCCACTAGTTCTACTTCCCATAAAAATATCACCCACAACAGCACAAAATGGGTTCTTCAAAAGGGTTCCCAAAGGTCTACAAAAGAACTATGGTGGTGGCGATAGGATGATGAGAAGAATGAGAGAAGCTAGAGCATCTTGATCAGAGGTGCAGGGCTTCCCAGGCCCAGGTGCTGAGCAACGTGGTCTATGCAATCTGTTTCATTTCATGTATATCACCCTGCTCCAGTTATGCATGCCCAATTTATTATTCCTTTACAGTAATCAATGAAGAACATTATATTTATGCAACTTCCTCTTGTTTGTCAAGTAGGAAAGAGCGAAGCCTTGTGTGCACTGGGCTGTCTGGCCATGGACACAGGGCATCACAGGAGAATCCATGCAGGCTGTCCCATCAACAAGCCAAACAGCCCTTTCTCTTCCCTGTCACTGGAGAAAGAGAGCCTTGTCCTCGGTGCTCTTCCTTGTGGGATTTCTGGGGATCACAGGGGAGAACAGTGGGGGCGCCTGCTGCATGCACTATGGAGGAACAGCCACAGGGCACAGGAGAGGTCACAGTAGGGGAGGCTGATGATCATTCAGCACAGATGGTGCTTGGGCCCCTCCAGAACCTCCATGAGCTCACCACATGCCCCTCCATGCTGGAAAAGTGTCCTCTTAAAGGAAAACCTAATATTTAGTCTTGATATTATTCTCACAAACCTGGAATATCTTTAAATGTATACCCAAGGTGTAACTGTAGTTAAGACCTCATGACATAGGTAGAATCCTTTGTTGGGTGGGAAAGAAAAAAAACATGTTGTTGATGGGTCTCAGATTCTGTCAGTCCTCTGTGAAGTAGGACAGGTCACTAGTGTCTGGATTCAGAATTGTATCTGAATTGATTTCCCATTGATGCAACTGTGGTAAGGAATAAATAGGTACTAGCTGCTCTTTGGGTCAGAGTGTCTACATTATTTCCTGTACTGTTCTGTTTGCTGTTATCCAATTCAATCACAGTGAGAATTGAAAAGTAATGAACCCACGATTGGCTTAAGTGAGGAATTGGAATTCACGTTTCAGAAATGACCAGGCTGATCATGAAGTAGAAATGAGGTGGTTGGAAATGAGACCTGAGATTTGGGCCTGTCCTTGTGAGATAGTCCTATACTATGAAACTTTTGGGTTGAGATAACAAAACCATGAAGCGGTTTTCATAAGCCAGATGGTATACAGAATTAAGAAAAAGAAAAGGAGCGAGGAGCCTTTTAATACAGCAAATATGTTAATGATATTATACAGCTTGATACAAATAAAACTGCATAAGATTAAAGTATTCAAAGTGTTTCTTATCACTTAATTTTTCAATAACATCTAATTGTGCCACAGTCGTGGTCAGTGTTACTATTGATTATATGCATTTACTCAACCATATTTATTGATATTTGGACTTTTCTAAAGACAAGGCTACTTATTTTATATTATCTGATCTTTGAACAGTAAATTTAAATCCACAGAAGAGG